TGAGGCTACTCAGTGAGTCCTCATCACTGCAGCTCCTGGCTTGACACCCAGCACAATGCTCAGTCTCATCATGCTCCTCTTCCTCCCATCATGGGTCTCAAAAACGCAGGATGAGTGGCTCCAACAGTGCCCTGGAGAGCTGTGCTGTGGGGCTGCCACCATGGGATCCATATCTGCAGGGGAACCCCAGCTATCATGATTTATGGCTAAAATTACACCAAGCAAGTAGATTTGTGATCAGCTTGCCTGCAGTCCCTCTAAAAGACTCTGTGACCTGGATTTCCCCTCTGTGTCTGCTGTTCCAGCTTCAGAACCTTCGTATTGCAATGTGCACTAATATTAGTCCCAAGTGTTTAATATGTCTAAAGTTAATATAGCAAATGTGTGCATTAGTGGAAAATTTATCTACAACAGAAGTTTTTAACATCCAAGGATTTAAATGTTTTAAGCAAAATGTCTTCAGCGTTGGATATTTCTTTTTTGAAGAAAGGAAGCATTATAAAATATTTGAAGCTTTTAAAATTTTTCATTTTTACAGTATGAGAAAAATGTGAAGATAAAATTACACAGGTTTCACCTCCCCCTCCCCCCCCTTTTTTTTTTAAATTTACATCCAATTAAAAGTGTGTTGCTTATAGAATTTTTGAGCATTGGTTTCAGTTCTGTTGAATTTAATACCATATCCCCATTTTTCCTCATCTGATCATAGAGACCAAACTGGCCTGGATTGCATCCAAAAATATGTCAATTTCTTTATTCAATTTTTATGCCTTGAGAAACAATCTTAACTGAACTGCAATTACCTAAATTAATCAGAACTACCAACTTAAAAAAAAAAAAATCACCACCACACATAATAGGAAAATTACCATGTTAACACAGAGTAACTGTTCTGAAAACTGTATTTAACAACTTAATTTTTTCTTTTCAATGGCAGCTCACATGGCACCCAAAAAAGCTCTAGATTATGTTCTGGCACTACCCTCCATGCTTGTTCTCTGCTTAGCAAGGGCAGGGATGAAAAACTATCCATGGGATGTTTCAGCAGATCTACTCATCTTTTCAAGCATGAGGAAATGGCAGCAGCACCTTTTTCACCAGGAAAGGTGAAGCTTTTCCACAGGAGTACACTCATATGCTTGCCATGAACTTTTGGAAATGAATTTTCATTGTCTTGGGAAAAGAAAGAGCAAATTAATATGTAGCTATATCCCCTTCTGTCTTGAGAGCTCATATTTACTTTCACACAGCTTTTCTAACTGCATTAGGGAAAAAATTATGCATTTCACTTCCTTTTTCAAATATGAGATTTTTCCAATGGCTACAAAGGGCTGTGAGGATATTAGCACACTAGCTAATTAAGTTTATTTTGCATTCTTAACATTTAGCTGTGCATAAGGGAGCTATACAGGGAATTTGAAGAATAAGGTATTTTGGAGGAGATTAGGCCTTAAGAACATCAGAAATTAAAAGCTTTAAGTCTTTTTGCAAGCATGAATATCTCAAGGATATTGTGAGGATCTGTTGTCCTCAGAGGTACCTATAGCCTCATATCCCCTGGATGTTGCTGCCTAACTGCAGAAGTCTAAAACTTTACATTACTTAATGAACAGCACTGATGGAGCTTGGAAGGGAATTTGAATTCCAGCAATTATTGCTATTATTATTATTTTATGTTCACATGCCTTCTCAGGCAGGGATCTGCTTTTTAGCTTGATGCTTTCCTCAGTCCCATTATAAAATGAAATACCAAACCCACCTAAATAGTCATTCACTAATTTAAGGTGTTCTGCTCTCCTGTATCTACAGCCATTGGAAAAACAGCTTGCAGAAGACAAAAAAGGAACAGAAAGTTGCATATGCTGTAAGAGGAGACTCCATCCCAACCCTGCAGCAAGTCACAGCATGTCAGACCATCAGGCTCATCTGCTGTTTCTGTGGAATTATGCTGTTTAAATTTCCCCTTACCTTACAGTGGTGTTCAAACAAGGCAGTCCTCTGTGACCCAGAGCATGTTAGTGACTGCTGCATCTCTGTCATTGGAAGTAATTGCCATTCTTTCTTCAGTAAACCCAAATTGCTCTCCGTGTCCAGGCCTTTGCTGTGCAGTACAGACTCATTTTCTGCATTGTGAGTATATAATCCTCCAAGCTGGCAGCAGTGTGATTGCTCTGTTAATTATGTACAATCAGTCCTACTGTCAATCCACCATAAAAATATAGACCTCTGTTTGCTCCAGAGTGGTGTAATTCAAGGAAATGGAAATTTGCTGTATACAAAGTGTGAATGCATGTCTCCTAGACAGTAGCTAAATAGATCTGTGCATGTAAGGGTATGTAAACTCTTAGAAGGGTACGTATACACACTCACATATTAATAATTTCTGTTTACCCAGAAGTAGTGTGACAAAAACTGCAGCAAATCATTCCCTGCAGCTTTAAATTTCATTCATTTTGCTGTGCTCCATGGTATCTCAATTAACTCTAGATTCAGAGGTAGTTCATTCTTCTACTTGCAGTGTTACCAGGGAGAGACATCTCTCAGAAGCATCTCATTGCCTAAAACATTTTACTGCTCTTAACTATGAGCATTGACTTGTCTGGACAATCTGTAAAATGAATATTTCTTTTGTGGTTGCCCTACAAAATGAAGGAATTCTTGACGAAACTAACGAAAGAATAATTTTCCTGACATTTTCAAACAAGTAATAATTAAAATGCTGATGTTTAATCCATCTGAAATTGAAGAAAAATCGAAAATCTCACAATAGTTTTCAAACAGAAATCCAAATAAAAAATTAATTGGTCTTGTGAAAACACTAGAATCTAATGTTTAAAAATTGTATGTATGTATGAATGATGTACTTGGATTTAATTTAATTTTAAAATATTGTTTTAAAGAAGGAATTAATTTAGAAAACTTGAATAGTGTATTTGCAAAATATTAAAATTTGTTGAATTGATTATGGGCTACAAGGATTTTTTGCTTTGTAAACAGATCAGTTGGCAGTGGAAAGAGAAATTTTCCTTCAGAGTTACTATTTTTTTTTTAGAAAGGCCTTCCTGTAAAAAAAAAATAGAATCCTGGCTCACAGTCTGGGTCTCCTCTGAATTCAGCACCAATATATAACTTGGAATCTGTGCCCCAAAGCTGCTCCTCAGTGTGGAGGACTCTTGTTCTATTTTAGAGCGTGTAGAGGAGGAAGCAGCGATGCTGGCTGTACCTCTGGGACACAGAGGAAATGACACAGAGGTAAGTGCAGATCTGCTCCATGTTTTTCCACATTTTCCGTATCTTGACACAAACCATGGGGGAGAGAGAGGGGCTGTGTGTCTGATGGTGTTCCCAGGGCAGAAAGGGAGGTGGATTTTGTGGGGTCACAAGTAGAAAGCACCTGGCAGTGTAGCAGAATCTCTTCTGTCTGACTCCCTGGGATCCGCTCGCCCTCCCTCCTGAGTCAGGTCATCAGCTCACGCTGCAGCCTCTGTGCTCTCTCCCTGCCCCATAAATACTGCCTGCATTTAAGCTGTTCTCTGCTTACTGTCATAACAAGCAATTATAAGAATTTATAATGTGTTTCTTTAGCCCTTGAGCTGTGATTGCTTATGCATCTGTGGTATAACTCAGTGGTAACAAAGGCTGCCTTTGCCAGGCTGCGAGCTCTGCGCCGCGCCGAGCTCCCGGGTAAGGCTCAGTCATCACCACTTTATTGCTCACGTCCCAAAGCTAGGTGAGAAGGAATCTTCTAATCCTCAGAGAGGTGAACTTCATCATAACTCTGATACCCTAATGCTACACTTCATCTAGCAGCCAGCACTTAGCAGAGCACCCTGGGGACAGCAAAGGGAGGGCTGGGGAAAGCAGATGTGAAGGATTTCACATTCTGTGTCATCGCTGTCAGGCTGTTTATCACAATTTTTGCATGAAAATCTTGTTTGGCAGCAGTCCTGCCCCTCCTCTAAGCTGACAATAGTTGTATGAGTAAATGGGTGAGGGGAAGATAAGATCATTTAGAATATCACTGTTAATTCTTTTATTAAGGTGTCAGCTCTGGGAACAGCTTTATGAATGAGGTGAGTTTAGGAGCTGTATTTCTCATGATAAAAGAAACATGAGGACAGACTTTTTAGCAGGACTTTTTGCATTGGAACAGGGCATAATGGTTTTAAACTAAAAGATGGCCCACTTTTGATTAGGTATAAGGAAGAATTTCTTTCCAGTGAGCATGGGGAAACACTGGAACAGGTTCCCAGAGAGGTGCCTGTTACTCCATCCCTGGGAACTTTCAACCTGGATTGGATGGGGCTCTGAGCAACCTGATCTAGAGGAAGGTGTCCCTGCCCATGGCTGGGGGTTTGGATTAGATGACTTTCAAAGGTCCTTTCCAACCCTAACTCTTCTATGATTCTGTGAGAAACCCCCTCATGCTGGTAACACTGCTCAGTAGCAGGGATGTGCCTGTGGAAAAACTCCAGGTATGGAGGTACAAACCTTTGAGCAGCAGGCAGGATGAAGCAGCCCAGCCTCAGACATATCTAGAAATGAGCACTGTGTGAGCTGCCTGGCTGAAGGACAAAAAGAAGTAGGAAAAGTAGAAAAAGAGCTTTGGGGAGGAAAAGGTGCAAACAGCATCAGGATTCAAAATTGTGCAAGGCTAAGAAGAATGATCCATTGTTACTAAAACAATAGGACTTGTGTTTTCCTCCTTGGTGTTTTTAGTTTCAGTGATTACGATCAAGAACCAACTTTTGTAGAGCTTGAATGAAACTTCTTTGTGTTCTAGGCTGGCCTAGAGTTTAAGTCTGAAACCAACTCATCTAAAGTGTTTTACATATTGAAAAACCAGTGGTGCAAGCAGACACATATTTTAAAAAAAATTATTCTAATTCTGCAAGAGCTTGGTTTGTTGTCCTGGTTTCAGCTGGGATAGGTTAATTTTCTTCACAGTAGCAAGTACAATGCTGTGTTTTGGGTTCAGTATGAGAGTAATGTTGATAACATTCTGATGTTTTGATCGTTACTAAGCAGTGCTTATTCTAAGGGAGGGAATTTTCATCTTCCCATCCTCTGACAGTGAGGAGATGCACAAGAATCCATAATGGGCCATGGCTAAGGTATGTGTATCACTTGTTCTTCTCGCTCTTAATTTTTCTTTCTTTGTTGTTTTCCTTTACACTACATTATTATCATTATCATTATTATTTTATTTTATTGCAATTCTGTTATTAAACTTTTCTGATCTTAACCCATGTGTTTTACCTTTTTTTCCTTATTCTCCTCCCCATCCCACCAAGCTGGAGTAAGCAGCTGTATGGTACTTAATTACTGGCTAGGGTTAAAACACAACATTAGGATTTGGAGAAATGAAGGGAGTTGCTGTATGTCCATATGTTATTTCACATTTAACAGTTGGAGTTCTTTTTATATTGTCATAAAAATATTGTCATGTCTTTTCTGTGTTTATACATTCCTCTTATAATTCTTCACTCAAATGTTTGAACACACCTCAAACAGTTTCTCAGTTATATTTTATTTGTTTTATGTGCCCATGCCTTTCCCTGAATACTCCTTATTAAAGTTTTGGACTGAGCTCCACGTGAAGTAAAAAGCCTGATTTCTTCATAACACCCACTCATTATTCATCTGAGGAGGTGCTGAATGGTCAAGATTACAATTATATCTAACCATGACCAAATGGCCAGAAAGGTAATGTACCATGCTCTGGGATTTGATTACTGAGCTGAAAGGGCAAAATATGATGTCCTCCAAATTTAATATAAAAAGAAAATAGAAAACCACAAAAAAAGACCCAAACAAAAGAGGCCCCAGACTTCCCCTTCCTGACATTCAAGTAAGATGAGAACTCAGCAAGGAAACATAAAACTGCCCCTTACAAAAGAAACATGTAAAATAACTTATCTGGCAGTACCTACACAGGACCCTTTCACAGTTTAGTGCAATAGACCTAGAGTAAAACTGTCATTTCCTCCTCCTCTGGCCAACCCCAGGTCTTCCCTCTGCTTCCCCAGTTGCCATTGTGAACCTTCAGCTCAGAACAATTATTTATCCCAAACAGAAATGGCATTCCTAACCAGCGAGCTCAAACTCTGTCATTACTCCCACTTCCACTCTCCCAGATTATATTTCAGAGCTGATTTATGGTACTTGCCTGCCTCACTGCCTGAATGCCCCAAGCAATTTATTTCATAATGCCCTTCTTGTAAAGAAATTATGCCTGAATTGCTCACAGGTTAGTTCTTCCATGGCACTCCATGCCCTGGTACTTTTCTCTCATTCTCCATTTCAAACAGCCCAAAGGCAAACTGTGATATGGGTTTTTGATTATAATGTTCAGACTTAGTGCAGTTAAACTGGAGAGGGAAGAAAAGCACACTGCAAGTCTCTTTTGGGTTATTAAATGAATTTCAGCTGTGCAATACTACTGTGAAGCCCACATAAGTCCAAAGGATTTGGGGTTTAAACAGTGTAAAGAGCTGAATTTGACAACTTGTCTCAAGCTAGGAGAAAACCGAGTTAAAGTGTTGCATTCCTCAGAGAACCTTACAGATGAACTGTTTATGGCTGCCACTGTTTGGGGGAAACTAAATCAGTAAAAATTCTTGTTTGGTTTGTTCATCCTAGTTATATTTTCTCAAACAAATGGTAGTATCCAGGGTTACGTTTTGTTCTTCTTCCTTTACTTTGAAGAGATTGACTGAAGTGCAATTCCATAAGGCAAATGTGAGTTTGGCGCCAAAATGCCACACATGACAGAGCCATCAAGTTACAAAGACTGGGAAGCTGTTTCTGTGGTGGAAATCTGTTATGGCCCTTGAGAAAGGAGATGGAAACTCACAGTCCCTTCCTGTGACAGAACATGGGGAAGGTGACATAGACTGCCTCTTTCATTTTTACCCATATATCTTAGCCTGTGTGACCCAGATGTAAATTAAAGAACAACTATGGCCTAACCCACCTGAAAAAGGCATATGCAAAGGAAAAGACCTTGATAATATTATCTTTAATTTTATCTTATTCCATAAGTAGTGCAAATGGGTATAATGGTATTGTTAATGGTATTCAAAAAATAAATATAAGAAGATTAGGGTATCTCTCATAAAAATTTAGAATGAAAATAATTACTGTTCAAGACATAAAGGATGAAAATAAATCTAGCTCCTCAGAAAGTAAAATTAAAACAAAAAAATCCTGAATAATGAATGCTGTCGATTACAGCAATACCTCCTCACTCTTGCAGATATGTGCTGCTATTTGGCTGCATAATTATTTTCTTCCCAGTAATATCTCTGGAGCAGTATTTTTACAGTATTGTAGGGCTTGCTGCAAAATCAGCCCTAAAGGAAAATGCGAGCTGGAGGCAGATCTGAGAAATCAGACACAGAATAGGAAGTGACAGGGAACTAAGCACAGAGTGCAGGTTTCTCTTTCCTGATCCAGGAATTTGTGCAAGCGATACTGATACCCTGAGAACCAAGAAATCCAGGACAGGACTTGAAATCTGCTCTTCACGAGGACAAACAAGATTGGAATCACAGCATAGCTTATTCCTGGTGTCTACCTCATTCCAAGCCTCATTCCAGCAAAACTCAATCTGGAATTGTGAAACCCTTGTGTGGCATCCTGGAGGATGTGAAGAATGGCAAAGTGCCCATGCACAGAAACAGGTGTGGCTGGGACCAGCTTGGCAGCTGGGCTCCCATGGGGTCCATCTTCCCAAAAATCTCTCTACCACATGAACCAAGGCAAGGGGACATCTGGGAGATTTACTGAATCCTGCCGGTCTGAGCTAAAACCAGACAGGTGCAGGTGCACCCTAAAGGACAATCCACCCAGGCAAAGGTGGGCACATACTTGTGCACCTGCAGGACTCAGACAAAAGTCTCTGCACTGTAAATATAAGCGTGGAATTTAGAGTAAATATTTTTACTACAAAATTATTACAGACATTGTATTATTATACCTCTGTCTGAATTAAAAATTTTCAAAGTATCAGTATGTGTGATTTGTAAACCACATAACTTGTGGAACCACATTAACTTGCTACACATGCCAGATGCTCACTGCAAGGCAGATAGCAGTAGACAGATTCTCTCTTTGGGCTGGATAGTCTGGAGGAAACAGAGGTCTCCAGGAACTGTAGAAAGATCTTGAAAAAGTTAAAAAATTAATTCATGGGAAATAAATTTTTCAAGGCTTTTAAGGACCAAGTGACTCTGAATTGCTACAAAATCAAGATATGTAGGCTCTTATGTGGTGTCTTCTGGGTTTCCTGGGATTTGGAAAGTATTTCTGTACTTTGCTGAAATACGACTGAAAGCTCTAAGCCAGCACTAACCATGTGCACATCAAACTATCACAAAAGTAGAAAAAGAATTACAGAGAAAGTAAGGACCAGGAAGGAGCCAGAGTGGAGCCCCCAGTGCAACTACCATGACACTGTTAATAGAGAACTCCTGAACTTCTTTATTCATCCACAATTCCAGGCAGGTTGGAAAGCCACTGTGACAAATACAGAGTTTCATAGAGGAACAGGCAGTTTTGAAAGCACCACTGCCTCGTGCTTTGTCTGCACAAAGAAAAGCCTGCACACATTTCTTTTCCTTTAACTGCTATCATGTGGATTAAAGCATCCTTTGGGTAAAGTTTAGGATCTGTTGGAAGCTGCTCCTGGATCATGTGCACACCCATCTTTCCTGACCTCTGCTTGCCTTTTTGTGTCCTTGGTAAAGCCCATCTAAAGTTTCTTTTCTCTTGTTCAAAGTTTAGTTCCTGCTTTTCAGAGCTTCATTGCTAGGATGCCTTTTGTATTCCCTGATGCCTTTTTAAATTCTCTCTTTTTCACCTGTACCTCTCCATCTTCTCTGGGAGATTTCAACTCACTCATAACTCCGTCCTTTCCTTCAGGCAGATAAGAAAAATACTTCTTCATTAGTTGTTTGTCAAGCTCTTCAGCATACTAATTGCTGTTTGTCAAAGAACAATCATTAAAATGCACAGTGACTGCAGGGAAATAGCTTTAATGGCCTGAGATAAAAGTGTTCCCTCTGTCTTCACACTGCCCCTGAGCAGGTGGTTACTGCCCTGCACTTCAGTGAAGGACAGTGTTTTCCTCAAAACCTGCTTTAGTGCCCAGCTGGCTCCATGAGCTTCTTGACTTTTAATTACATCAGCTGCATATATGTGATAGTTGAAATGTGTAAGTTCACAGACTGGCCCACTCCCCCATCACTTCTTCCCAGTATATGAAATTTTTTATTCTCCTCCTCAGCCCTTCTAATGACATTAGCTTGAATTCTCTAGACTTGTTCAGTAGTTTGACAAATTTCTCCTGAGATGAGTGAAGCTGATCTGTGTTTTCCTGGAAAAATTGCCTTTTGTGGTGGTAACCACTAGATTAATAATGGCATCAACAGCTGAGAGAATTTGACACCTGGTTGGGAGTGTGTTGTTCAGTATGTCTAGTGAGAGGTTATACATACCCTGGCTCTTCAAGGATATGAGGTCTTCCTAATAAGTTTTTGTACACACAAGAATGTTTGAATTGTATGCAAAAGGATGTAAATAGTGAGATCCATACAATATCATCAAGATACAGAGATATTGCATTAAACATGTTTTCTGTAAGTAGAAAATCCCTCCATCAACTCAAATTGAGATCTAAGAGATTTTTAGTTTGAGCTAATACTGTAGAGAAATGTATCATAGACCTAAACTCATGAAATCTTTGTGGTTCCCTCACAAAAAGTGCTTGGATTTCACAGAAATATTGAGCTCAATTATATTTTTATTAAAAAATCACCTTCTCTCCATCATGTTGCCTTCCACAAGGTCAGTTATTTACAATATAGGCATCAGTGGCATGGGCAAAGGTTTCACATGCCACTTTTGACCCTCCACATCATCTCAGTAATTTAAGTGGGTTTATTTGGTTTAACTGCCTTGAACTTAAAAGGCAATGCTATTAATGTGGTACAAGAAAAAAATTCAGATTTTCTTTGGAGTATTTATTTTCTCTCAAGCTTCCTGACAAATGAAAACATGTAGGAAAATTTGTCAGCATTTTTTACTCTGTAGTCCAGGTCTAAGCAAACTC